TAATCACAAAATGAAAAAAACATAATATACCAACAAACATGGAAGAAATCTTTATCAATAATTCAAATACATACAGTTTAATGGCTTTTATCATGAATACAAAATTGATTGACAGATTGTGAATGAAACAACTAGTACAGCCATATTAAGAACAAAGAAAATTAAGAGAAGACAAGGCGTAAAGATAGACAATTTGTGCTGAAACGCCGGAAATCTGCTCAAAACAAACAAACAAATTATACAACCGAAACAAAGTTTTAACAAACTTTTTAAAAGTTTATTAAACTTAAAAAGTTTGTTAAATAATTTAATTCATTTAGTTAATAGAATGGACTTGTGTGCTGTCATTCGTTTTTCGATTATGGAAATTTTTAATGCATCGAAAATTGCGTAGTAAAATCATTTAATTAAAAAGGAAAGATTAATAAAAAGCTATTTTAAAAAATTGAAATTTAATTCATGATATAAATTTTAAAATCTAATGTTACTTTTAAAGCTTTACATCTTTTCATCACTGTTTAGTTTCTATGCATGTAATAAGACAATCAATTTCGACTTGCCGGCTCTATAAATTAAAACCAGTGAAGTGTTCAAGAGATGAACAAACAAGATATGAACAAAGAAATGAAAGCCATTTCATTTTTTTATTCATCAAAATTACTATAAGCCATTTATAGATTTATATAAAATAAAACATAGTATAATATATATATATATATATATATATATATACATACATACATATATTTTTTACAATATTCTATAAATTCTACCGAATGTTTGGCGTTAAATGTTTGTAGTTCGTTTTTTATAAATTTACTTAAAAATTGTTAGAATGAACAATTTGTGAACGGTGGCCTGCGACACAAGAATTTTGTTTTCTTTTAGCTTTGGTCTCCTAATCATTACCTAATTATTATTAATTTGGATTGATTGAATAAATTTGATTTAATCTTAATTTAATCTTAATCTTTATAAATCTCCATTTACTGCTTCCATTAATACTTCCTTTAATTTTTCTTCTTTTGAATGTCTTGCTGTATCTCTTAAGTCTTCTCTATCTTTTTACATTTCTGTAATCTATCGCCCTCCTTCTTCTTCTCTCACTTTATTTTTAGATGAATTCTACTCACTCGCTGAATCTCTCTATTCTTTTTCTATTCCTTTCTACATCTCTGGTGATTTCAACTTGCACTTCAATAATTTATCATGTTCTTACACTCGTAAATTTAATGATATTTTGTCTCTTTTTAACTTAACTCAATATTGTTCTTTTCCTACCCATACTTCTGGTAACACTATTGATTTTATTATAGCTTCATCTTTTTCTAAGCCTATTAATATCTCTGCTAGCTCTGTTCCTTATTCTGATCACCTTCTTATTGAATCTGTTTTTTCATTAGATTTTCTTCCTTTAAATTCATCTATGTCTATTTCTAAAAGATGCTGGTCTTCTCTTAATAAAGATATTTTTCTTCAATCTCTTACTGAAACTATTTTTGATACCCCCTTATTTTCTGATGTTGATGATTTTGTCTATGCTTTTAATATCTATATTACTTCTATTCTTGATAAGCTTATTCCTCTTAAATCTTTTACTTATAGGCTCTATTCTCGTAAGGCTCCTTAGTATGATTATGCTTGTGTAGTAGCCAAGAAAAGTGTTAGAAGATTGGAGAAAGCCTATAGGTTAAATCCATCTAACTCTCTTTATTCTATCTATGAATCTGAATTGATTAATTATAAATATCTACTATTCTCTAAACACTCTACTTTTCTTAGAAATTCTATAACATCTGCTTCAACATCTAAAAATAGGTGGTCTGTTCTATCTAAACTTCTACATAAAAAATCCTCTCACTCATCTTTTTCTGCTCAACAGTTTCATGACTTTTTTGTAAATAAAATTACTTCTTTAAGAACATCTAATTCTAATTTTTCTTCTCATAACTTTACTAAACTTACAACTGAATCTTTTTCTGTATTTACTCCAATAAATCTTTTAGAACTAACTAAAATTATTAATTCTATGTCGTCTACAACCTGTTCTCTAGATCTACTTCCTTTTAATTTACTTACAGAATTTTCTTCAATATTTTATCCAATCATTCTCAAATTAGTTAATTTATCTCTTTCCACCTCTAAATTTCCTACTTCTTATAAGAATTCTATTGTTATTCCTATTCTTAAAAACTCATCCTTAGATCCTACCTCTTTATCTAATTATAGACCTGTAACTAATAATAATTTCATCTCTAAAATAATAGAAAAAGTTGTTTTTAATCAACTGTCATCCTATTTAGACTTTAACTCCTTGCTACCTGTATCTCAATCTGGTTTCAGACCTGCTCACAGTACCGAAACTTCTTTACTTAAAATACACAATGATATCTTTCTCTCTAGTGACAATAGTAATCTTACTCTTCTTCTTGCTCTTGACTTTTCCTCGGCTTTTGATACTGTTGACCATACTATTCTCTTGAGACTGCTACATCTTTTTTTTAATATTACTGATTCTTGTCTATCTTGGTTTTCTTCTTATCTCTGTAATCGTTTTTCTTCTGTTGTTCTCAATAATTCTACTTCTAACTCCTCTACTTTTACTTTCGGGGTACCTCAGGGTTCTATCCTTGGCCATCTTCTATTTATACTCTATACTTCTGAACTACCTCGTATTATTAATAACTTTTCTTTCTCTGTCAACTATACGCTGATGACTCTTACATTTATACTTCTTTTCCTCCATCTAATCTCAATAGTGTTCTTCATAATTTATCTCTATGTCTTTCTTCAATTATCGCTTGGTCTGACTCTATGTGTCTTAAACTTAATCCTTCTAAGTTTGAATTAATTTGTTTTAATAAATCTGAACACTCTATTACTATTCCTCCTATTATCTTACCTGATTCTAAAACTCTTGAAGTGTCTCATAAGTTTCGTAGTTTAGGTTTTATCTTTGATTCTACTATGTCTCTCTCTCCTCAGATTAATAGTGTTGCTAGAACCTCTTACTTTCATCTACGTAGAATAAAAAAAACTTTTGCCTTTTCTTGATGATCCTACTCTTCTCCTTCTTGTTACTTCCTTAGTCTTATCTAGGATTGATTATTGTAACTCGGTCTACTATGGTCTTCCTTACTCTATACTCTATCCTTTAAGTAAAGCTTTTAACTCTGCTGCTCGTCTAGTTGCTCGTGCCTCTTTCTTTTCTCATATATCTCCATATCTTGTTCTCTTGCACTGGCTACCTATAAAATATAGAATAATTTTTAAAATTTGCACGTTCATGTATAAGTCTCAATCTAAATTATTTCCTAAGTATTTATCAGATATATTAATTGAACCTAAACACCCCGGTTTACGATCGTCTTCTTCTTCTCGCTTTTTCTTAACTCGTGTTAAACACTCTTTTGCCTAATCTGCTTTTGCTTTTTCTAGCCCTTTTCTCTGGAACTCTCTACCTATTTCTCTGACTACTTATCCATCACTTACGAAGTTCAGAGCGGATCTCAAAACCCATCTGTTTTCAAAATTCATTGAGGAGCGCTGTTGAACATCGCGGAAATAGCGCTTTACAAGCTAATTGATTGATTGATTGATTGATTGAACATTTATCGGATATACCTACGAATTTCGTCATTATTCATTACCCCTCCCCACAGTTTTGAAGTAACTTTTTATAGACTGTTTAACACAAATTCATTTTTTAATAATATTACACTACATAAATATTATTAAAGAATGTACATGATAAAAATGTATTAAAAATTTTCCTTTAATTTGAATTTAGTTTTCTTATATTATAAAGTTAATATGCAAAAGGTTATTTTGCTACTTTCGTATATGGTTGTTGTTGTTGCCCTTCCTAGATGTCCGGTGGGTGCTCCAGGCGAGGCCTGAGCCAATTCACCACCTCAACTGGGTTCCTCCTCAGATCTATTGACATGAGATGAGTGTGGTTCTTCGGGCAACTGAACAGCTGGGGGACATCGTCAGGTTGTTGAAGGAAGAAAGGACAGATGTTGTTGTGTCCGCTGTCAATTCTTGCCTTGTAGCTGCCAAGAAAGATGCAATGGCCAGAGCGGAGTTGGGCTAGGGTCCGTCTGATTGTCCTGGGCAAATTTTCTTCTGTTTTGTCTATTTTTGGGGTCGGAGAAGGCCATCCGTTGAGTAGCACTGGAGCCATGTATGAGTCGGATGCGGCTTTGGCGGCATTGCTATGAAGGATTGATGATGCACTTCTCAAAGATGCGTTGTCGGTTTCTGTGGGCAGTACTGTATTATTTGTCTCAGTCCACATAGAGCTGAGAGTGTTTTTCATGCTTCGATATGGTGGAGGCTGTTTAGTGATAAAATGGCACGGATGGCTCGGGTTATGGCATTGCAGGAAAAATTGTGAGGAGAGTAGTTCAGAGTGATGTCTCACGGTTAGCATCTGACATTCTGAGTGAAGATGCTTCTCTGACATGATTTTATGACAACCTGTGATCAGGCAAAGGGCAGCATTCTGGGACCGTTGGAGGCGGTTGAAGCCAGTGTCAGATGTCAGCGGAGACCAAGCTGGGCAGGCATATTCGATTGTGCTGCGACCGATGGCTTTGTAAGTTTGCAGCAGAGTTTCCTCATCCTGACCGTAGGTGGTTCCGCTGAGGGCCTTTAAAATATTATTTCTTTTGGAGGCCTTCGATGCTGTAAATTTGTGATGTTGGGAGAAAGACAGCATCGTGTCAAGTGTCAGGCCCAATATTTTTGGATTGTGTTCTAGTGTTAAAAATTAATTGTTGATTTTGATTCGTGGGTGGTAATGGTATTGTGATGTGAATAGAGTAACTGTAGACTTAGATGTAGAAATATCTAAGTTTCTTCTGTTGAGGCAGTCACATAGTTTCGGTAGGTAACAATTGAGCCGGTGGGTCAAAATATCTGCATCCGGACCTGTTGTGTAGATGGTGAAGTCATCTGCGTATGAAACAATTTTGATGTCTTGTGATGGTTCTGGGGCTTTGGAGATGTAGTAGTTGAACAAAGTTGGCAACAGTACTGAACCTTGGGGCACTCCTGATCGGATTATATGTTGCTTGGAGTGCTGATGTCGAAACTCTCTTGTGGCGGTGCGTCCGTGCAGATAGTTTGACAACCATCGGACAATTGACCGTGGAAGCGATGATGACAGAAGGTCGGATAACAAATTTTGATGATTGACCGTGTCGAAGGCCTTTGTTAGATCCAGCGCTGTTAGTACGGTTCGATGCGCTGGTCTTTTTCGATTGAGGCCGTTGGCGATATCGGTAACCATCAAGGTAAGGGCTGATGTTGTAGAGTGGTTTGCTTGGAAACCATGTTGGTGGTTTGCTAGTGTTAAGTGTTCTGCTATGAGCGGCAGGAGGCATTTTTCAAAAACCTTCACTGCTGGACATAATAATGATATAGGACGGTAGGACTTTGCATCACTATCTGGTTTGCTGGGTTTGAGGAGAGGAATTATTTTTGCCTTCTTGTATATATCTGGGATTCTGCAGGTTTACAGAGAATCGTTAAACAGCTTGGTTAGGAAAGAGATTCCTGTAGGGCCTAAGTGTTTTAGGTGAAGCATTGCCAGGTTGTCTGATCCGGAGGCTTTTGACGGTTTTGAGTCTTTTATAGCCTTTAAAACCTGATCGTGTGTGATGGTAGGATAATCATCAAGGGTTAACTTCTTGATGGTTCTGGTGGTGATTCTATTTAATTTGTTTGAAGTGTGTCGATATGTTGTAGTAAACTGTTGAATAGGTTCGCCATTTGCAGGTTGTTTGATGTTGACCTGTTGTTGAAAATGATGGCGTTGTTGGGATATTGAGATGGTTTGCCACTTAGAGTTTTTATGGTACTCCAAAGGCGATGGGTGTTAATATTTTTATTGAATGTGCCCAGGGAAATCCTTCCAGCGAGATTGTTTTAAATTGTTGATTTTGTTTTGTATATCTGTTGATAGAATGGCAATGTCCCTTGATGACGGGTTTGAAGATCTGTAAACGTCTCGTTGCTTCATGAGCCCCAAGATTTCACTCGGAAGACCTGGTGATAATGTTATTCGTCTTCCTGAGGGAATGTTGTGTTTGCTTGCGGTCTATAGAATATGACGAAACAACTTCTCAGCTGCTGATAGGTCGGACGGGAAGGCTGTTTTGGAAAACACGGCTTCGGTTTCATTGGTGAAACCAACCCAGTTAGCATTTGCAAAGTTTATTATTTTATTTATTTTTGGGGTTTTAGTTGGTAAAAATGTTGATGTGATGTGGATCGGGAGGTGATCTGATGAGAGAGCTGTCACTGTAGACCTATTCATTCTGATGATCAGAGTGTTTGATGTGACGGAGATATCTGGTGATGAAGGTTGACCGATTGTAGGCAAACGGGTTGGGTTATCCGTGTTGAGTGTTCCACACTCTGAGTTTTCAATTTCCCAGGCCAGGGCTTCTCCTCGTAAATCTTCCAGACCTGAGTACCAAAGCGTATCATGTGCATTCATATCACCCAACACAACCACGTTTGGTATATCTAGAAATGTTGATATTGAAGCTGTGAAACCGGAGGAACAGACTGATTGTGGATGGATGTAGATGTTAACGATATGCTGTGATGGATAAGCATGATTAACCCACCACCTCGTGCGTATGTACGATCTTTACGGTACAACGCATAGTCCCTAAAGGTAGGATCTAGAGTTTTTGGTTTCCAATATAGCACGAATGGCTTATGAGCTTGGTGTTCTCGCTGAGTTACAGGTTGGTGAAGTACTGTTTAATTGTACCTCTGCTACTTTGGCACATGACGCCACCACTGCTGCTGGAAAACATATAGAGGAGATTCACTTCTGCCTCTCTCCCATGCAAGTTTCTTATACAGTTTCACTAGCAAGGTTACCAGGTGCAACGTTCGTTGACTATGCAAATCATGCAAAACTGGGTTTGACATGAAACTCAAGGATTTTTGGCTCAGCTGTATCATTCTTGCATGATTTCTCTAAACTTCGGTAATTTTTTAGAATCATTTTATTTACTAAGTTTAATTTCTTTGAAAATAAAAAAAATTATTACAGATACAGTCAAAAGGGGGTCCTTGTGTATTTAGAGCATTTTAAAGAGCAAACAATGTTGCAACAACTACGTTTTTGAGGTATATAGGCAACAGGTTTCATGTTATATTTCATATGGGTGGTGTTGCTGTAAGATATGGACATTTGCTTCGTTTATTCCTGAAAGGGTAACTTGTTTACTTGTAATTTTGAATGTGCATGAATAAACTTTAGACAATAGCATATTGAATACTTTTTATATTTAGTAACACCAAGAATGATTTGACCAAATCATTACGTGAAAACATAAGTAAAACTGAAGTAATGACGCAGCTTCAAGCTCTAGGCTTACTCGGAAAATTTATGACCGGGTTTGCCATATATGGAAATGCCCAGAAAAGTTCAAACCTTGATTGGTAAAACTAAATGATACACATGATATATGTTTTATTTGTCAAAACATTTTATCATTTAAATATGATGTATTTGGAGGAAGCTTGAAAGAAGATGAAGTTTTTCAGTCACTGATCATTTCGAAATGTTAACAAGCTTCTATTTTCCATTTTCTCTTCCCTTGTTCAAGTAGCCTTGTGATCAGCACACACTGCACAATATAAAATATATCCCAATAACCTAATTTTTTAATGCAACAGGTGGCATTACATGTTGTTGAAAGGCGGATGAGCAGTTATCTTACCGGAGCTCTTTCAAATCCTAGTTCTCAAATAATACTGGACTCTTCTTCAGCATGCTGAAAGAATGATTGGTATGACAAATTATTTTATTCATAGAGCACCTATTATCCCCACAAGTTTTAATTAATGATCTATTATTACTATTAATTTAGTATGTTACAGTAGAGCTTCGTAACTTCTATCAAATCAATCAATCAATCTTCGTTTTGCGTCCAGAGACCCAGTTCCCCGAGGTAGGACGTTGTTTTTTTGCCATCAATTTTTTGCGCCAAATTAGGCGATCATTTGTATCCATTTCATTTAAATTTAGAGCTTTCATGTCTTGCTCGATTGTTTGCGACCAGGACGTCTTTGGACGGCCTTTGGGACGTGTGCCAGGTACTTCAACATCTGCAAGAGAAGTTCCACTTCGTTTGAGATGACCAAACCACCTCAGACGATGTTGCCGGCATTCGTCCTTTATATCATCTAAACCAGCACGACGCAGGATTTCGGTAGATTTGATGTGGTCCTTCAGACTAATTCGTTGCATCTCTCGTTGCATTCTCATATCGGTTCGGTAAAGTTGTTGTTCCAGTTTGGTTGTCATTGGCCATGTTTCTGCACCATATAACAACACCGGACGTATCACAGATTTATAAAGTCTTGATCGTAGTGGTAGTGGGATGTCAAGCCGCATCAATATAGAGGCAAAGAGATGCCATTTATTCCAGGCTGCACGTATGCGTGCTCGAACGGCTGCTTCAGCTGTTCCAGTACAATCTAGAACATCCCCAAGATATTGAAACGATGTGACTTTCTCTACCTTAATGGCTTCAAAAACAGTGCTATTTCAAATTTGTTGTTGTGGATTGATGCAAGCAGGACAAACAAAAATGGACACTTTACATAAAGTACCAATTATTTTTGAACAACGTTTGTGACACCACTGGTTACACTGCTGACACTTGATTGAATTGTTACCTACACCAGCTTTACAAACTGAACAGGGCCATCGTCCAGTAGCTGTGGATTGGATGGGTTCACCAATGTTTATTGCTTTGGTTTTGCTGATGTTGACTTTGAATCCATGATCGGCGAGTCTGGTGTTCCAATCTTCAAACATCTGTGCTGCATTCTGCTCAGACGTGGCTGTTAAAGCGATGTCATCAGCATATACTAGATTCCAAATGTCACCAGTGCATATCGGTTTTGTGATTTCTTCCATCACAGTTATAAATAACAGTGGACTGAGAATCGAGCCTTGGTGAACTCCAACGCCGATGTCAAATGCATCTGTGTTTCCAACCGTTGTGCTGACAAGAGTCTTAGTATTCGTATACATTTCCATCACAAGTCGAACAAGATATTCTGGAATGAGTTGTCGACGTGATTGCTTCACGGGGAACTCGATCAAATGCTTTTTCAAAGTCTAAAAAAATGTGTGATAGTTGTTGATGCTTTGCGAGGTACTTTTCTTGCAGTTGCCGAAGGATGTGAATTGCATCAATTGTTGATTTCCCCGCTAGAAAACCAAATTGATAATTTCCGATTGTGATGCACGACGTTAATCTTCTCTCAATGATTTTCTCGACAATTTTCAGGAAGTGTTCTAACAGACGTATACCCCGATATGATGAACAGTTCCAATGGATCACTTTTGTCTTTGTATAGCGGGACTGTCATGCTATAGTTCCATTCAGGCGGCATTGAGCAATTTCTCCAGATTTCACGGCAAAGTTGTAGTAACATTTGGATACCTGCAGTACCAGATGCTTTGATAATGTCATTTGTGAGTTCAGAGGGCCTTGCTGCCTTTCCATCCTTCATAGCTTTCAGAGCTTCTGTAAGCTCCTCTACAGTGATGTCTGGAATCGGACCTTAGATAGGTGGAGCGTCAAAGTTAACATTGATGGGAATGTTAAAATTAATTAATTTATTAATTTATTTATTTATTTATTTATTTATTAGAAAATTAATGGTAATCAATGATGATCGTAATTTCTATCAAAAACGTTTTTATTTCATTTTGTTTATATTTTTGTCAAATAATTAGATAATTTGAAAGTGAATGGTTCATGATACTTGATGATGTAACCTGATTTAATTAAATTCATTAGTTAACTATTCATTAAATTCTATTAAAAATTGCATTTTTATTTAACACTGCTATTTATTTTAAGGATGAATAAGAAAATCATTTATGTTATAAAGTTAAAAAAATGAAATTGCACAATTTGAATAATTGTTGAATTATCAGAATATGAATCAAGAGCAAAGAGATTCGTTTCATGTTCACAAATTTATTGAAGCAATGTAGATATCCGGACAAAAAATTTGACAAATTTTGTTATAAAAAAATTAACTGCACATTATATTGATTTTATTTTAATTCTTATTATCAAGAATTAATTGTGTTTCATAACATTTAAGTCTTTAATTTGTAGTTTTTTTTCACTTTAACTACATTTATTTAATTCATTTCATATATGACTTCACTTAATTTGTAGTTTTTTTCACTTTAACTACATTTAATTAATTCATTTCATATATGACTTCACTTTCACTGTTAAATACGTTTTTACTTAATAAAAATAAGTTATCAGATGTTTCAGCCAATTTGTATAAATATTCAAAAAAATATTAGACAAATGCATGCTGTGGTAAACAAATTTTTATACATTCTTCAAGTTGCTATAACTACGTCAGTTTTTGGTGTATATATAAAAATTTGTACAATATTCTATAAATTCTACCGAATGTTTGGCGTTAATATGTTTGTAGTTCGTTTTTTCGATTTTTCTCACTAAAGTTTTTTGGTGAACGTTTAGTTTATTAAAAATTATTTTGAATTTTAACTTTAGTGAGAAAAATCGAAAAAAACGAACTAGAAACATATTAACGCCAAACATTTGGTAGAATTTATAGAATATTGTACAAATTATGGTCTATTATCAACATAAAAATTTGTATATATAAATAAATTTGGGCTCGTTAGGTTGCTAATAAGTTGCAGATTATGAAAATAAAGTTGAAAAATTTTTTTAATGCATTTTTTTCATGCAACTACCTATTAATTTAAAAGAGCATTTACTTTTCATAAAGTTTAATCTTTAAAAATTAAAATGCAAAAAATTGTCACCCAAATGGGTAAATGAAAATCTAACCATATAAAATATAAATGATAATCATAAAATGCTCCTCTCGTTAATATGTCGTGTTTCAATGACTAACTAAATAAAATATAGAAGTTGATACAACAAATTAGGAGATAGAAATCCTGTCCTGCCGATTAATTTTATTTATTTTAATTTTATTTGTATTTTGATTGGAGTTTAGTAGCGAAAATAGAACACGCGCGCTCTCAACTTCAACGAAAGTGAATTTACATTGCTATTTCGTCGTCGTTATTTTTGCTTATTTTTCAAAAACGCGCGCATCTATAGGGTGAGACTAATTGGCTGACTTGGCTGAAATATATTTGGCTGACTTTTTTTTCTTCTTTGTAAATCAGGATCTGACAGAATCACAAAATTAAATAAATATGTAAGTAAATAAATAAATAAACGGAAAAAGAAAAATTTTTGAACATTAAATATAAAATAAAATAAATAAAAAAAATAAAAGAAAAAAAATTGACAATGAAGTGAAGTAATGGCATAAAAACGCAAATTAATAGACTAGATGATGACTTAGTGAATTAGTGAGGTGATCGATAAATGAAAAATAGTTGTGTGAATGAAAAAGTTTTATTAAATAAAAACTAGTTGTGTGAATGATAAAGTTTTATTGAGTGTTAATATTGTTATAACCGTGCTACCGAACGCACTAGATTCTAGCGTATTCTAGAATGTTCTAGTGACTGGAGTATTCTAGAGTATGCTAGAATCGGACCATCTAGAAGAATCTAGAAACGACGCTTGCGAAGAGTATATAAGCGCACGTCGCAAGAAGATTCGTGATTAGTGAAATTCGTGATTTTGTGATTTCGTGAATAGCGATTCGGTAAATTATTTAAAGCGATATTTGATTTGTTTGTTGACGTTGTCATAGCGATAGATTTTAAACAATTTAAAAGTTAATTGTTGTGTTAATTTGAATTTGCTAGAAATAAACGAATAGTTGATTTCTTCTGTAAATAAAGTTTAATAACTAATAACTGTTTGGAGTATTTTATTCAATCGAAGATTTGAACCCGTCGCATTGTAAATCGGTTACGACAGCGAGTATTATAACAATATGTTTGAGGTATCTTGTGA